ATAATAATAATAAATGTAAGTATAACCTTTTGTTAATGATTAATTAGTCACTAATTAATCATCATAAATCAGCATTCAAAATCAATCAATCACAAGTGAGGTTACAGGTAAAATCATATTTGGATTTAACCTATAATGTGATATTTAGACTCCCCATATTCTAAATGGTGCCAATACAAACAAAGACAGTGAGTTTTAAAGATAAAAGATATAAAAGTTTCATCTGAAGATGAGTTCAGACGTCCTGATATAAGTAGCCTGATATTCAGAAGCCTTATACGGTGCATCATTGCCTTTAGGAGGTCAGAGGTGTGGCATGATATTTTAAATCTTTATATGGGATTGTGCGTATGTTGACAATACACACCGCACATGTAAGAATTATAGTTTCTAAGTTAGAAGACTTCGTTTTAATTTTCGACCGATGGATCATTGAGTTAACCTCTTGAAGACACGCCTGCAAAGTTTTATCAGAGTGCATTCAAAACTTTTCACACTGTTGTGTTTATTGTTGCTATAGTTGCGTTATTGTCCAAAGCAGGAACAAAACAAAGAAACTGAACCAAAGGAAAAATGAATCTGCCCAATATTGCCCAATAAGTGAAGCAACTCATTTAGCACCAAACTTGTTTTTCATTCACTGTTCTGTTAGCACATTGCATCGTGTTGTAAGGTGATGGTAACATGGCCACGTGTTAAGTTTTAGTCCTGAACAGGTTGGGAAGAAGGTAAGCAGAGAAACAAACGACCTACCCTCCGATCACCGGAGTGCCGTCGACCCATTTCCACTCATCTTCTGTTTTTTCATCGGTTATTCCAAACCAGTAGGAGTTCCAGTGTCCTCTGGGAAGAAGATTCCATAGAAATGTCTGAAAGAAAACATACAGAGGAAGCATTCACATTCAAGAAAGCATTAATCCGTAATGACTTTATACAATAAAGGGCGTTTATAGAGTCAGCTCTTTCCTTCCTCTGTTTACAGGAAGTTTACATAAAAAAATTCCACAAAAGCCTAAATGAGGCAGAAATAATGTTTTCTTCTTGTCAAAGAAAAACAGCCAGAAATCTGTATCAGTGTATCTCTGCTTGGCCCTGAGCACCACATGCATACAGCAGAACTGAACTGCTAAACTAGCCGTGCTTTATACAGCATGACTGTGTCTTTAGTGGAAAACACAATGGTTTGGAGCTGACATCTGACAGGTGTTTCCTGTCAGATGTGCATGTGAGAATCAAAATGTGTGATACTGTAATAAAAAATCTGTGGATGTGTATTTTGATAATTATCTGGTCTGGTTTTAAAACACAAAAGTGGAAATACCAAAAACACACAGTTGGAATCTTTATCAAAGATATGAACTCGTGTAAAAATACAGAAACTGTATGCAAGGGAACAGATCTTTGCACAGGAAGCTTTTTTACTTTTAAATGTCGAAAAAAGTGACTCCATAGCGTAGACGTTTACATATTCATCTAAAAAGTAAAAGATCTGTTCACTGTTCACTGTTTGATCACTTGGGGATTGTATCTGGCAAAGCATCCGGTCTAAAGCTCTGTGGTGACCTCTTGTGAATAAGCCACTATTCATGTTAAGCCTCCCAGTGCAGAGAAAAAGAGGAACACATGTAAGATACTACTGCCTGTATCTGAAGACTGTGTGTTAGTAGCTTATTTCAGTTTCTTTGGAGATAACAGTATTGTAGTCAACACAATGAAATTTATCAAACTGTACCTGCTCCTCAGGTGTGTGGATGATGGCCAGGTGAGCGCCTTTGCTCTCACAGAATGACTTGCTCTCTGGCCAATCCCGCGAGTTCCTGGAGATTAAGTAACAGCTGTTGTTAAAGACGTGCCAGTCGTTGGGGCAGACGATAGGAGCCGACGTCACCACAGCAGGAGCTGATGAGACAAGGACGAAGGAAAGTGGTGCAACCAAAGATATTTACTTCACTATGCTTGTTTGATGGGTTACAAAAAATGTCATCTTAAATGAAATCAGACTAAAGTCTTATTGAAAGGATCCAGGCTGTATTTGACAGATCATAGAGGAGACGATTCATTCTTGTGGCTTCACAAAGATGCATGAACGAAAATGATAAAGAAAAATGAGGAGTCTACCTTTAGTAGCCATCTTTGCAGCGAGCTTGGCCTGCAGCTCGTCCTTCTCTTTCTGCAGCTGTTGTTTCTCCTGCTGCAGCTTGGCGATGGACGCCGTCAGAGCTGACGCATTTGCCTCCTGCGTCTGCTTCCCTAAGGATGCCTCACCACCACCCTGAGGTTTGTTTTTATCTGTTAGCAGTATGAAAGTAAGTTACATACAGTACTGCATGCTGAAGGATTACAATATACTGCCTAAAGTATTTGCTCATCTTCCTTTACACATGTATGAACTTGAGTGACATACCATTCTTAATCCATAGACTTTAATATAACATGGGCCCAGAAAGCTTTCCACAAGGTTTAGAAGTGTTTATGGGAATTTTTGACCATTTTTCCAGACGCACGTTTGTGAACTGAAGTTGGAGGCTTGGCTCCAATGTCAGTGACTGACCATCCGTAAATGAATTAGAGACCCCGCTCTTACTCGTTGCAAAGTGTCTCATTCATGTCTCATTCATGACTTTGTGGGCCTTGTTTTGTGTTTAGTGTGCAGTGATGTTGGAACAGGAAGGAGCCGTGGCCAAGCTGCTCCCCCAAAGTTGGGAGCGTGTAATTGTCCTTAATGTTTTGGTATGAGTTCACTTCACTGGAACTAAGGGGCCCGGCCAAATTCCTGAGAAACAACCCCACACCATAATCCCCACTGCTCTCAAATGCCAAACCC